GGGGCAGGGGCAGGGGCAGTCCACCTCCCGGGGCGACAGACGCCGAGAAGCCAGCTTCAGTCAGGCCAGCGACAGCGAAGGGCACTCGGAAGACTCGGCCAGGCAATCCCCATCCGCCCATGGAAGATCTGTTTCATCATATGAGTCTGTACCCATTCATTCAACTGATAGCCCTAGAGAGTCTCTCTATGATCAAAGAGTGATGCATGATCAGCAGGTGTCTGATTCTTCTCCTGAAATATCAGAATATGATATAGGAAATCAAGGTGATCATTTTCCCATTCATCCTAAATCAGATCATAGTTCAGGAGTAGAATCTTGTGGTGATCATCACAGTTCCGAAGTTAATTATTTTCCCTCATTTATCAGTGAAAGTCGTCACTATGGATCAGGTATAGGTTGGAGGCATGGCAGTTATGGTAGTGGTGCATATGAATATGGTCAGTCAGGATTTGGGAAATCTCAAGCTAGATTCATTAGTGAAAAATGCCGTCCAGTGGAATTAACAAAGAGATTTGAAAATAGAAAATCACCTGGATATGGAATACAATATATGAGATCCAGTATATTAGGCAGTAATAGAGAGCCAGAAATGCATAACCATTCAAGTGATATATCAAGACAGCTGGGGTTCAGTCAGTCCCCAGGATACTATTACTATGAATGAGAAATCAGTAAGCAATCAGTTTAAATAGAATTAAACCAAGTAGTAGGAGAAAGAACCTGTTAACACTTTGTTCTAGAAAGTTGACCTATTACTTTTATAGAAGTTTCTTGTCTATTTGAAATATGTTATACTCTTTCATTACTTTGGTGGTAGTTTCTTTTTATTCTCTAGACCTTTTAAAGCTTATATTTAGAAAATATTAAGGAAATTAATGTCATTCAAATCTAAATTTGCGTAACTATTAAGTATGTGTAGTTGAAATAAGGATTCTTTTTTTTCAAAACTTTAAATGTTAGATCCTCTCTCAATTAATATATGAATTTTCCTGAAAAGTATCTAAGGAGGTAAATATGCTAAATCATTCTTTTGGAGGCCAAAGCCACTATATCACACCATGGCTCAGCTCATCTTCCCGTATTATTCTTCTACTTGAACTCTGTTTTCTTAGCATTCAAAAAAATCACATTGGATTAAAAATTGTGTAAGGTATAAAACTCAATAAAAGTTGATCTTATTACCTAGCTTGTCTTTTTATGCTTTTTTTCCTCAAGTGCAAAAAGGGTTTTTTTTTCCATATGTAGGATTTAATCTCTTTTGTATACCATAGGAAATCTGAACATATAGCAATATAAAGTATGCAAAAGTAATAAATAAGAAGGAATTTAATCAAATCATATGTGTTCCCCAATATAATCATTGTCCCACATTATCACCTTTAAAAGTTAAAACACTTTGTTGAATGAATCATAAATATTCCTACCATTAATATATGAAATCACTAATTCAAGTGTTTAACAGCCACATCAAAGCAAGAATTGTTGACTGTGGGTCCTTTGCCAAAGATGCTGGCAAATGCTTTCAAGGGAGTCTAATGAAAGTAAAGAATTTAGCTGAAATGTGTTGACAACACAAAAGCAATTTAAAAAATCCCTTTGGGCTTGGGCAATAGCTCAGTGGTAGAGCATCTGCCTCACTCATGTGAGGCACTAGGTTCTATCCTCAGCACCACATAGAAATAAATAAAGATATTTTGTCTATCCACAACTGAAAAATATTTTTAAATAAATAAGTAAAAAGAAAGAAAATGCCTTCCTTTCCTGAAAGGATAACAGATGAACTTTTATGATTTAGGCAATTAGATAAAGAAAGGGCAGGGGGAAAAAATAATACAAATGTTAATAATTTCTTTTATTAGAAGGAAAATCCTTCTGTGAGATCCCTACCAATGTTTACTTCCCATAATATCCAAATGGTAGTGGTATGTAGGCCAGTGTTCTCATTTTGCCGATGAGTCTATCACACAAATAACACACACCAAAATATTAATTAGATTTCAAATCTTCAAGTTCAAGATTGACAATTTTATAATAGAATTTATAAAAGTTTCCTTTCTTGATCTTTTATTTTAATAAATTAAACTGAATTAAAATTGTCAGTATTTAAATGATCTCAAAAGGGGACAGGGACTGAATGAAAAAGAAACAGGCTCATTTCTAAATTAGCCTCAAATAATAAAATGTCTGTTTGCTCCCCACAAGCCACTTAAAGGTAGTACTTCTCTCCTACCAGTGTTTCCATGCTTGAAGTACAAACCCCATGTATCCTTACTAAGCAACAAATATCATGAAGTACCCGACCTGCAGGCCTTCTAGAGCTTTAAAAGACACAGGTGCCCTAGTCTAAGTTTATTCAGCTCTCTCCTGTAGCCCCACTCTAAAGGAGTCTGGCCTAACTGACTGAAAAATACAAAAACTGTACTGAGGAAACAGTGCAGACCTGGCCCTCCTAAACTTGGGAGATATTTATGGACACTAACAGGCATTACAAGAGAGACAGATATGTGTGCCCTAAGAGAGCAAAACTTCTCCATAATAAAAACATATACACCTGAAATTGTCTTCTTTCACATCCCCCTACCCACTAAGGACAGACTTACTTGAAATTCCCTTTTGTTACCTGACAGAAAATCAGTTTATCCAATAAATTGAAACAAGATTCACTGAAAACGTGAATTTTCTCTGTTCTCTTCCCTTATAAAATTTCTTTTTGTCTTTATTCTTTACTCAGTTGACCAACTCTCTCAGTAAATTATGAACTTCCATGCAATATAACTAAATAAGTTTTTCTTTCACTGAAATAATCTCAAGGGACCAACTATGTCTTACGTCTCTCTTTTCTCTACACAAATATTTTCTCAATGCACATCAATCCATGACAACCTTATCCACTGGGTAAAGTCACTCACAGCAGAAGAACTAGAAGAAAAGACCAGCACAAACTTAACACTCATAATCAGTTGTTGACTGCTCATTTGCAGTGTCCTGTGAGAGGGTTCCTATAAGTGCAGATCACAGAAAACTGCACTGCTGGTCTGCAAACCTTATTAGTGGTACACAGCAAGATAAGCACAAAATCAAGGATAAGGATTTAGAAATATTTTATAACAATTTGGCATTGACACATTTGAGGGTGTGACCATTTTTTAAATTTTTATAAAGTATCAGTTCCTAATAGATTAGAAATATTAACCCCGATCTTTCAGAGAAGCTACTGAAGACTTATGAACAAGGGAACACTCTAATCAAATGTATACATTAAGGATCTGGGATGGTCTAAAAAAAATAAAAGATAGGGAGGTCTGCCTGTAACAAGGCAATGGTCCAAGGTAAAGATAAAATGAGTATCAATGAGTCAGTGGTAGTATGATGTTTGAAAAATGAGGTCAACTAAATTTGATCATTAATTGAATCTGGAGAGTAAAAAAGAGAAAAGCATTGAGGATTTTTCTAGATGCTTATATCTATATTTCAAAAAGGAGAATATGAGTCTTCAGCATATATGTAGCTTACTGAACTGGTTAAAAGTACGGGCTTTGAACCTAGATGCTATCTAGGCAAAAATCTCAGCCCTAGCAATTAACTGTGACTGTGTGGATCTTGGAAAACTTACTGCAGATTTCTATTTCTTGGTTTCCTCTTCTGAAAAATTCCATGTAATAACAGTACCTACCTTGGCATCATTACAAAGATTGAGTTGATACATGAAAAGCACTTAATACAGGGTCTGGCACATGCTAAACACTCAATAAATGTTTGCCAATATGGATGAAGCTATAGGCATGACTGAAATGAGAAAGTGAAGAGTGAGAGCCAAAGATAGAATATTGAGAAAATCCACCAAAGTTCTTCCCACAGTCAAATAACAAATATGTGATAGAAAGAAGATTTTCAGCCTGGTTCTGACTTCCAATCCCATGCTCTCATCACTAAAAAGGAGTGTTTTCAAAGTTTAAGTATGCCAAGAATAGTCAAGTCAAGTCAGAAATGAAATATGGTTTTAGCACAATGGTGCATGCCTATAATACCAGAGGCTCGAGAGGCTGAGGCAGGAGGATCTCGAGTTCAAGCCAACCTCATCAAAAGCAAGAAATTTACGCAACTTTGTGGGAATCTGTCCCTAAATAAAATACAAAATAGGGCTGAGAATGTGGTTCAGTAGTCAAGTGTCCCAGAGTTCAATCCCTAGTACTCCAAAAAGAAATATGGTCTTTAATATCTTGACATTTGTGATCCTGGAAAGAGCCATTTTTGTGGAGAGAGAGTGATATAAACAAACTGTTAGAAAACTTAAGAGTAACTGATTTTTGAGAAATTGGACACAATAAATACAGATTACTTCTGTGAGGAAGCCAAAAACTGCTTTCTAACCAAATCCTTTAGTTTTCTCCATTTCTAGCATCCCTGGTTGTGGGGATTCTTGACGTAACAGTCTGCAGGAGATAACTTCTGAAAATTAAGCAGAGACAAGAGAATGGAGCATCTAAGAAGCCACAGTAAACAGGCTGAATTTTTGCCTCCCTCACTTTATTAAGGAATAATTGACAAACTAAAATTGTGTGTTTAGATATATGTATATATTGTGAAATGATTGCCACAATCTAGCTAATTAACATATCCATTACATTTCATAGTTAACTTCTGTGGGTGTGTATATGGTGAGACTACAAGATCTTCTTTCTTAGCAAATTTCAATATATAATTATTAGCTACAGTCAACAGACTGTATGTATATTAAGTCTCCAATAATTATTCATCTTAAAAATTAAGGTTTGTACCTTTTCTCAATATTTCTCCTTTTCTCCCATGCCTTTAGTCCCTGAAACCACCATTCTACTCTCTGCTTCTATGAGTTTGACTTTATACTGAACTTCAAAATTCTCAAAGTGAAACTTTGTTTTAATCTAAGCTGGGATTTTCCTTTTGATTCCCAGGCACATTTGATTCCAGAAAAATGAAACAGTTTCTAAATAATGTGTAAAAGTATAAATATAATAGTGCTCCCTTCCAGAGCACATATAATAAAATTAGAAGGATACAGAGAATATTACCATGGCCCCTTTGCAAGGATGACATGCAAATTCATGAAGAGTTCCATAAGTTTAAGGAAAAACTAATCAAAGGAGAAACCAAATCAAGTTAAATACCAAAAATAAACAACAATGGCTGGGAATAAAAATCATGTTTCAATAATAACCCTGAATGTTAAACTAAACAATCAATCAATGTTAAACAAAACAATGCCTAAACTCAACAATCAAAAGACATAGACTGGCAGATTGGATTAAAAAAGACCCAACAATATGCTGCCTCCAAGAGGCTCATCTCATAGAAAAAGATATCCACATACTGAAGGTGAAAGGTTGAGAAAAATCATACCGATCATATGAACTATGGAAGCAAGCAGGGGTTTCCATCCCCGTATCAAATAAAGTAGACTTCAAGCCAAAGTCAATCTAAAGGGATAAAGAAAGATATTTCATGCTGCTTAAGGGAACCATTCATCAGCAAGACATAACAAATATAAATATATATGCCCCAATTAATGGAGCATCTACATCCATCAAACAAACTCTTCTCAAGATCAAGTGCTGAGGGCCATTACCAAGTAGGAATGATGCATCGAAATCCTTGCCAGCGTACCCCATGTTAAATGGACTTGCCTTGGAAACTTGCTGCGACCTTGCTTGTGTGTTTGAGAAAGATGACCCTGCTCAATCACCAGGGTGGATCCAGGATTAGGGTGTATCTTGCAGGAAGTATCCCTGTCCTTGGGTTTAGGGCGTGACAATAGGAGTTTTAGGGAAGTTGGAGGTTGAAGATTATTCCTGCTGGGAGTAGGGTGTGCCTGCTGCCTGAGTTCCCGCTGAGTTCTCCTGGAGAGAAAGTTTTTAGAACTTGAATTGTGCCAGAGATTGGGATTGCCCCTGGACCTGTGTGGAGGCAGTGTGAGTTCGTGCTGTTTGAATCTACAAGGTGTGTGGTGGCTCGTGATTCTGTGCCAAGCCAAGACATTGGCATCTGGCAATCAAGAGTCAAATACACCACAACACAATAATTCTGGGTGACTTTACCACACCTCTTTCACCACTGGAAATGTCGTCCAAAAAAAAGTTGAACAAAGAAACTACAGAATTCAATAATATAATTAATAACTTAGACTTAACTGACATATACAGAATATTTCATCCATTAATGAACGAATACACTTTCTTCTCAGCAGCAGATGGATCCTTCTCTAAAGTAGACCATACATTATGCCACAAAGCAATTCTTAGCAAATATAAAAAAGTAGAGATACCACCCTGCATTCTATCAGATCATAATGGAACGAAATTAAAAATCAATGATAAAATAAAAAATAAAAGCTACTCCAACACCTGATGACGAAATAATATACCACTAGTTGCAAAAGACATCAAGAAGGAGATTTAAAAATTCTGAGAGGTGAATGAGAACACAGATACAATGCATTGAAATCTCTGGAACATTACGAAGGCAGTACTAAGAGGAAAGTTCATTGCATGGAATTCATTCCTTAAAAGAAGAAAAAGTCAACAAATAAATGACTTAACATTACATCTCAAAGCCCTAGTAAAAAAAGAACAAATCTACACCAAAAGCAGCAGAAGACAGGAAATAATTAAAATCAGTGCTTAAATCAATGAAATTGAAACAAAAGAAACAACTGAAACAATTGAAAAAACAAAAAGTTGGTTCTTTGAAAAAATAAATAAAATTGGCAAACCCTTAGCCATGCTAACGAAGAGAAAAAACTCAAATCACTATCATACATGATGAAAAAGGAACTATCACAACAGACACTACAGAAATACAGAAGATAATTAGAAATTATTTTGAAAACTTGTACTCCAATAAAATAGAAAGTACCGAAGGCATGGACAAATTTCTAAAGTCATATAATTTTCCCAAATTGAATCAGGATTTAAACAGATCAATTTCAAGCAAGGAAATAGAAGACGCCATCAGAAGCCTACCAACCAAGAAAACTCCAGGTCTGAATGGAACATAGCTGATTTCTACAAGACCTTTGAGGAAGAATTAATACCAATATTCTTCAATTTATTTCAAGAAATAGAAAAAGGGGCAACACTTCCAAATGCATTCTATGAGGCCAATATCACTCTGATTCCAAAACCAGACAAAAACACATCAAAAAAAAAAAACTAAAAGAAAAAAAGAAACTTCAGACCAATACCTCTAATGAACATAGATGCAAAAATTCTCAATAAAATTCTGGCAAATCAAATACAAAAACATATCAAAAAGATCATGCACCACGATCAACTGGGATTCATCCCAGGGATGCAAAGTTGGTTCAACATACGGAAATTGATAAATGTAATTCATTACATCAATAGACTTAAAGCACCCTATGATCATCTCAATAGAAGCAGAAGAAATCATTTGACAAAATATAGCACCCCTTTATGTTCAAAACACTAGAAAAACTGGGAAAACACTGGGATAACAGGAACATATCTCAACATTGTAAAAGCTATCTATGCTAAGCCCCAGCCCAACATCATTATAAATAGAGAAGAATTGAAAGCATTCCCTCTAAAAACTGGAACAAGACAGGGATGGATGCCCTTTTTTCACCACTTCTATTTAACATAGTTCTTGAAACTATAGCCAGAGCAATTAGACAGACAAAAGAAATTAAAGGGATAGGGGTATGAAAAGAAGAACTCAAATTAGCACTATTTGCCAACGATATCATTTTATATTTGGAAGACCCCAAAAATTCCTCAGAAAACTTCTAAAACTAAGTAAATGAATTCAGTAAAGTAGCAAGATACAAAATCAATACCCATGCATCAAAGGCATTTCTGTATATCAGTGACAAGTCCTCTGAAAGAGAAATTAGGAAAACTACCCCATATACAGTGGCATCAAAAAAAAATAAATAAAATACTTGAGAATCAATCTAACGAAAGAGGTGAAAGACCTCTACAATGAAAACTACAGAATGCTAAAGAAATTAAAGATGACCTTAGAAGATGGAAAGATCTCCCTTGTTCTTAGATAGGCAGAATTAATATTGTCACAATGACCATGCTACCAAGAGCATTATACAGATTTAATGCAATTCCAATCAAAATCCCAATGACATTCCTCATAGAAATAGAAAAAGCAATCATGAAATTCATCTGGGAAAAATAAGAGAAACAGAATAGCTAAAGTAATCCTTAGCAGGAAGAGTGAAGCGGGTGGCATCACTATACCAGACTTTGAACTATACTACAGAACAACAGTAACAAAAACAGCATGGTATTGGCACCAAAACAGACTGATAGACCAATGGTTCAGAATAGAGGACACAGAGACTAACCCACATAATTACAGTTTTCTTATATTAGACAAAGGTTCCAAAAACATGCATTGGAGAAAAGATAGTCTCTTTCTGGGAAAACTGGAAATCCAAATGCAACAAAATGAAATTAAACCCCTATCTCTCACCATGCACAAAACTCAATGTGGATCAAGGACCTAGAAATTTAACCAGAGACTCTCCATCTAACAGAAGAAAAAGTAGGCCCTAATCTCCACCATGTGGGAGTAGGCCCCAACCTCCTTAATAAGACTCCTGTGGCACAAGAATTAAAATCAAGAATAA